AAGAGGAATTTTGCAATAGTATTGATGTATTGGACTCCAACAACTATGAATGTTTTTATGAGAACGTTAAAACTAAAATGAAAAAAAAAAAAAATCTTTGTGTTTTCTTTATTAGGAATTTGTATTTTTATATATATTTTTGTTGGGGTTTGTAAAACGTTATTTCATTATTTTTATATGAGGACATCATTATGTTAATTCTAAATAAAAAAAATCAAATATGAGTTCATTTTTTCTATATTTTACTTCATTTATGCAATGATATGTTTAATAAATATATTGATTTATTTTACAAAGTTATTCAGCGAAAATCATTCGACACCACGTGCATCGCACGTGCACTTTACTAGTATATATAAAACATCGCACATGTTATTCTAATTAGCAAAAAGAGAAATGGAAATGGAAAAGGAAAAATATAACCACCTAGTTATTCTTTACATATTATTACTCTCTCAAGTGGGGGACTACGAGTCTGGCTTTATATGGTTGAAGTGAAGTGAGAGGGCAGTGTTCAAGTTATTCTCCGAGTTAACTTGTCACAACTCACAAGTGCTCAACTAATTCTATTTTTTGCCAGATTCAAAACTTCAGAAAGGAAGATATCTTGTCAAGGTTCATTCAATTGGGTGAAACTGATGCCAAGTACTTGCGTGATATAATCCTGAATTTTATAATTGCCGGGAAGGACACAACAGCAGCAACTTTGTCCTGGTTTATTTACATGCTCTGCAAGCATCCTCTTGTTCAGGAGAAAGTGGCAAAAGAAATACAAGTCGCAACAAGCTCAACAGATGCATCAAATATTCCAGAATTCGCTTCTCGTTTGAGTGAGGAATCTCTCGAGAAGATGCATTACCTTCATGCTGTACTCACAGAAACTCTGAGGCTTTATCCTGCAGTTCCAGTTGTAAGACAGAATTTCTTATTTTTAAATTCGTTTTGAGATTTTCGGAGAACAACTACCCTTCAATTTTTTGTTCATACACCTTATATTTACCATAGTCGAGTACCTCCTTGTTGGTTCTGTATGGATTTTTTTTTAATTGCACTTATTATTCATAACCATTTTTGCCCCAAATAGGATGCAAAATTATGTTTATCAGATGACACATGGCCGGACGGGTTCAGTGTGAGAAAAGGCGACATGGTGGCCTATCAGCCATATGCAATGGGTAGGATGAGATTCATATGGGGAGATGATGCCCTAGACTTCAAACCAGAAAGATGGCTAGATGAGAACGGCTGCTTTAAACCCGAGAGCCCATTCAAGTTCACGGCTTTCCAGGTAAGCAGAAATCGAGTTGAGTCAAACGTTGTTTCGTTCAGGCTCTAGCTTTCGAGCTTATCTTTACTCTCAATTTTTTGAGTGGAGTCAAACGTAGTTCAGTGTGAGAGATGTACATTTCTTTTTCAAAATAACAACCAACTCGTTCAAGTGTTTATGAACTCTGTGTTGAGGCTCATATGTTTGCAGTTGAATAAGAAGATGACAAAAACTCATTTATCTAAAAGTAGATTCATAGGGTTGTTTATGAGATAAATATTCCTAAACAGAATTGAATCGTGACCAATGAACAGGCTGGTCCGCGAATATGCTTGGGAAAGGAATTTGCGTACAGGCAGATGAAGATATTCTCAGCCGTTCTTCTGAGATTTTTCTTCTTTAAGTTGACTGATGAGAACAAAGACGTCAAATACAGGACAATGATCAATCTTCACATTGATGGGGGACTCGGTATACGTGCTTTTCACAGATCAGATGAGAAATCCACATGAAAATTGTCCGAGAATGTAAAGCATACGGGTTGACAGTTACTTTGAGGGTTGCTTAATTGTATCCTGTCATGTCCATTGTATGAAAGATGATTCTGCAAATGGAGTGTCATTTGTGGGTAACAATAAAATAGAACAGGCTTTACTGCCAAACGATTTGATATCTAAACAAGGACCTTGTTACAAATCACGGTTCGATATCTAAACAAGGACCTTGTTACAAATCAAGTGCCGCACCAATTGTGCACCCTCAAAATGCCATTACACAAACTAGTGAGCTAAAAATAAATACAGAAAACATCATGGACCATCCCTAGCAAATTTAAAGTAGGTAAACAAATAAAACGATCAAGTATTAACAAAAGACGGGAACGAATGCAAAAAGGCAATATTGGTGTGGTCAAGTTCAACAATCTTCCATTCTCACAAAAAATAAATAAATAAATAAATAAAAGCCAAAATAGTCAGATCACTTAACTTGCTTTGGAAAATTAGGGTGGCCAATTGTCAACAATCTTTCATTCTTACAAGGACAATGGACCAAGAAGACCTACAGATGATAACATGTCCATATGATCGACCGCATGCAATCACATAAGTAAAGCTCATCTTGTGCCCGTGCGGATGATACAGGAAACTAATCTTTCCATATCTGGGCCCTCCTAGAAAGGTGATGTTGTCTCAGGCTGAGAAAGCTTAACTCCAGGCCTTGATGCCCAGCTTTTACGTTGCCTGTAGGCTTCTACTGCTTGTAGGCGTAGCCTCTCTTTCGAAGCATCTTGGGCTGTCTTAAATGCCTTCATCGGCAAAGAAAATAAAAGATTATTACAAAAGAAAAAATGTAGGCAGTGACAAAAATATCAGCGCATATGAAAATCACGACAAAAGAATATAAGTGAAGAACCTTAGGAACGGCAAGTAACTTAGGGGGTGCTTGAACTATGTCTCCAAATTTTATGTCTTCACGGCCGGGAAATTCAATGTCCTCGTCGGATTTGGATTGTTTGTGTTTTTTCTTTCTTGCTTCCAAGAGTCTGCAAGCATTAAACCAAATCATCTGACCACTCTACGTAAATTACCACCAATTACGTGAAGATGTAATGTATGTGATTAAGAGAGTGTTTTGCTGAGTTTACAAGCTCTTAATAAGATTTTATAAGTAGTCTACCAAGTCTAGGAGCTTCACATTTTCACCTTTTTTTTTCCTGAAAAATTATCTCTTGACGAACTTCCACTGATTTTGCTAGTGCCAACACACAATTGATCAATTGATCAATATCTCCCAGACACTTCAACAACATATTCCCAAATAAGCTAAAATCTAACAGAATCCATAAACATCTTACATTGGTTGTTGAAGCTTATAAGATGTTTTAGCTCTGCCATACACTCTCTTGTTTCCTAGCTTTGGATGAAAATATCACAAACAGCATGTAAAGCATAACTTCATTTCACGCCATAAGACTAGTGACATTTGGACTAAAAACATTCATTTAACAAATATATATATATGAAGACAAAATCGTAAAACTTACTGCTTTCTACGCTCTTTTCTGCGAGAACCCGCAGAAGCTTGCTTGTCAGCAGCCTCAAACCGTAGGTCTTCTGCTTTTTGACTTTTCCTCTTCTTTTTCTTCTTCTTGTCACTCTTGCTAATTTGGGGAAATCCACCCTGTTTTTCCGATTGTGTGGCATTCGAAATTAGATTACTTCTTTTTCTCTTCATTCCAGGAGGAGTCCCGGTCCCTTCCCCTGAATTAGTCCCCTGAAAAAATGATGTTCGAAAATTGCAGATGCGAATAAGACAAGATTGTACACCAAGAATAAGGGTAAGAGATAATCTATTGTTAGTTGTAAATCAAAATCCTCAAACCACACATTACCCAGCAGAACATCAATCAATTCACTCATTCAAACACCTGATTTGAATGTATCCTTCCTTTGTTAAAACACTCATTTGATAATTAGAAAGATTAAGAAAAACAAAAAAGAAGACAACATAATCGAAATTGGTGGAAGATACAAAAATTGACCTAAAAAAATGCACAGTTTTAGTACCTTATCGGCACCATATACTGTATTTCCCTTTGCTCGATTAAAGGGTTGTCTCCCATCTCCTGAAACAAGAACTTAAAGATGTAAACAGGCACGAAGCCTTTATTAACCCATAAAAATGGCAATGAGCACGAGATAAAAGAGAATGGGACGGCAACCTGTGAGAGACATAAGTTTGCGAAGCTTAGACGGGACGGCGTCGAGTGAGGAGGGATCAGGCGGGGGCGGGAGTCTAGCGTTGCCTCCGCCATGAGCCGCTCTGTAGTTCTTTTCCCTTCGCTTTTGCCCTTTCCCCGCCATGCTCACCTTCCACTCGGAGTTTCTTCTGCGTGACCTGACCTTCAATTGGATGGGATCGGGGGGTTTTTGTTTTTTATAAAAACCCTACTTTGTGAAACGTTTTTTAGGAAATTATGCAAACTAGTATAGTACAACATCCGTGTGCTACACGGGTACTTAATAAAAAATTATTCTTTAATTTTAGAATTAATGAGAAAAATTATTTTAAATTTTATTAACACTTTTACAAAAAAAATATATATTATTATATATTTTAGAATGATATTTGTTATTTATGCGATTTATATGTGTTATATTATAGTAATTTATATAACATATATCATATAACTACTTGAAATATAAATATATTAATTGATAAATAATTTTATTTTTTTAATTAATATAAAAAATTATTTTATTATTGCTATAAAGAGAAATATAATTTAAATTTTTTTATACATACAATATGGATGTTAAATCGAAACTCATCAAGAGATGATTAATTTGATATATTATAAATGAAAAAATGATAAAAATAAATATAAAAAAAAATTATTAACTTTGAAAATATATTTACAATTCAATGGTTATAATAAGAATGATAACAAAATGCAATCAATTCATGTAACATGACCATGAATAATCAACATATTTATGGATAATCCGGACATAATTATGTTTGGATTGGAAGTAAATTAAAATCTACAAAAGTCTAATAACGAAACATGTAATTTTGCCACATAGGATCCTGAAACATGCCAGACTGCCACTTAAGCTCAGTACGTTCTAAATTATTGTATAGGAGATATTTGGTTTGAAAATTTGGTGAGATTGCAAAATCTGTCATTTTTCAGTTTTTGTTGTCGATTTGGTTCTAACTCCGTCAAAAATTAACGGATGTGAAAGGCATGCCAACGTTAGTGGTTAATTTGAAAAGAGAGGAACTTATAAATTCAAATTCATATAATTGACCATATCGTAAATTAGTATTGATACATGTGCGATGCACAGTGTATAATAAAAAAATATTTTTTATTTAGTTATTATTAATTATATAAGATAGTATGAAATCATATTCTCTACATATTATATTCAATAATAGTTTAACATTTATTTATTTACTATTACTGTTAATTTCTATTTTTTATTTTTTTTTTAGTTTGAATATTTAATATATAAATTATATTATTTATAAGCTTATAAAATATTATAAATGTATATATAAGGTCATATGATATTTGCATACAAACTACTTGTATGTAATAAAATTATCGTTTATCATAGTCTTATAATTTTTTCAACAATTCATAATTTGCAAATTGCTTGACAACGTTAAACATATAATATTTATCTTCCGCTATGATTATTAAGTGCATTAAATGTTAAAAACTTTGGCAAATAAGTTTAAATTTTTAGTAACTTTAATCCTTATGCAGCACATAAATTTTTATAGTTAAATATTTTATTTTTATGTTTTCACTTTAATTTATACTTATTTATTTAATTCTTCTTTACAACTTATATAATGAGTTACATAGTATCTATTCGAATATTTACATATATTTTATATTTTCACAATTACCAAAGTGGTATAATTTAAATTATAACTATTCTATTAACATTTTCATTTATAAAATAGTATATAAGAAAAAGTAATGATTTTGAAAATTGGATAGTTTTTAATGTACATAGATATTTGTAAGGTGAAATTTATAATTTTGAATTGCACCCGACCATGAAATGTTATTTTTATTAGTATATTAGTTAAATTTTTAATAGTATTATCATTGCATATAATATTTAATGGGAATGTACCTTTTTATAATTATATTGACTACATTTCATAAACTTTTTATTAATATTTTAAATTATTTATTAAGTTAGTATGATTTAGATATAATTATTTTGATTATTTTATTAAATATTTTAAGTACTTCTAAATAGTGAATATAATTAATTAAATTAATTCCAACAACCATAGATGATAATATATTTAATCAAATCAATTTCCATAATAATTTTGTTAACTGTGTCAATAGATTACTATTAAATTAATATAAGAAATTATTGAAAACAAATCAACTATCCAAATTTACATTTAAGTCAATTTGTAATTAATGAGTAATAATAATTGAGTGACACTGTTAAGATAATGTGCATTTCATATAAAATTCTCTCGTATGGGAGCGAAAATCCTCCGGTGAAGGCTTCATTTTCAGTTTGTATCCTCTGATTTAATGTTTTTCTCGGTTGTGAATGGGTGGTGTTGTTCTATTGAGTTTGGGCTGCCTTTTTCGGTTTAGGGTTCAGTTTGCGTGGTGCGCGAGATTGGTGATTGGGGGTTCAGGGTGTTATGGGTGACAAATCGCCAGGGGAGAACACGTTTGGAGCTATGGATGAAGGGATGCTTAGGAAACTCCAGCCTATATCATTATTTGCTAAGGAAGTAGGAGGAGTTGAAATCAAATCAGAAGACAATAAAACTAGTGAGGAAGAATGTGATATGAGTTTGTTTGGCAAAGTAGTGGGGGACAGAAGGGCTGGCATTCTGGGGCTTAAGCGGATGATGGGAGCCATTTGGAGACTACGATAGCCAATGGAGGTTAAGGAACTAAGCTCTAACTTTTTCCAGTTCATTTTTAATTCTGTGGAGGACAAGAAGAAGGTGGTTGCAGGGTACAATTGGCTATATGAAAATCAATATCTAATCCTTAAGGAATGGTTTCCAAGGTTACACAGCAAGCATCCCTGCTTTGATGAAATCAAATTATGGGTGCAAGTTATCAATGTTCCGTTGAACTGGATGAGCACATAAGTTGGGGTTAAAATTAGGAAAATATTCAACAGTGTTAAGAACGTTGTGGTCTGCAAAACTGGTGGTGAAGTTGGGAGCTTTCTTAATATATTGGTGGCTGTGAATCTTAATGAACCGATTCCTAGATGTACACCTGTGAAAATTGGGGACCAAAAGGTCATGGTGGCATTTCGGCATGAACGTGTTGCTAATTTCTGCTATTATTGTAGGATGATAGGACACCTAGATAAAGGGTGTGCCCGGAGAATTGATGATATTGAGAGGAGTATGGTGACTGAAGGGCAATTCGGTGAGTGGCTTAAAGCCAATGAAACCTTACCAGGAGAAATAAGCAGTCAATCTGGTACTTCTAGAGTGAAAGTGACTCAGCCTGTTGATAATTCCAAATAGGGTTCTTGTGATCCTACAAACAACACTCCTGCCCTAGTGCCTACAAATGAGAACAGATCTAAAGTTAATCAAGAACATGTGCAGAAAGAGCAAGGTTTTTTAGAGGAGGCGGGAAATGAAAAAGGAATGCATTTATCCTTGCCATTGTAAACAATGTAGAGGGAGCCTCTGACCAATTGGGACTCATCAAGGCATTATTAGCCTCATGGAAACTAAAGAGCCAGATGAAGGAGTGGGCTCAACTCCACATAACCTTTCAAGAAAGCATGGTGGGAATCTGGTTAAGAAGAAGAAGGGCTCATGCTGGAAGAGGAGAGACACCACAGATGATAGACTGCTAAGGGTAGTGGAAAATTAGAAAGAGAACATCCCCCCTACTATGCATAAGAGGAACAAGGAACTAATTATTTATGAAAAAGGGTAAGATGAAATTGAGGATTCTCTTATTGACAGAAGGAAGAAAACAAACTTTGGATCACTAAAGGTTGAGAAGGACAACCTCAATAGGCCTCATAATGAACAATGAAGGTCATGGTGTGGAATTATAGAGGGCTGAGTGGGCCCTCTACAATTTCCCAAATCAAGGATTCCAGAAAAGTCCACCACCCTAATATTCTTTTTCTATCTGAGACTAAAAAATCTAGTGACTTTACTAAAATTGTATGTTCGAAGTTGGGATTTCAGAGTAGATGGCATTTGGAGAAACCTATGGGAACCAGAGGAGGACTGTTAGTCATGTGGGATGTGGATACTGAAGTGCGAAAGCTGCTGAGAAATGATTTCTGCATTCAAGTGGAGGTCAGAGGCCCTGGTATGTTTGGTTGGTGTTGGATGGTGTTTGTATACCTCAGTACTGACAAGAAAACTAGAGAACATCAATGGGAGTTTCTTGAAGTTAATAGAGCCACTTGGGGTAACTGTTGGGTAGTAGCAAGGGACTGGAATGATATCTGTTCCAATGAAGAGAAAAGAGGGGGAGTGAGGAGGAGCCAAGCTAATTTTCGGGTGTTTAATGATTTCATTGGAAGAATGAAGATGTTTGAGATGAACCAGAATGGATCTTTTTTTACTTGGGGCAATAACCGGGCTAATGATGGCTATGTTGAGGAAAGTTGTGATAAAGTCTTTGCCACCCTGGATTGGATGGACAAATTCACAGAGATGGAAGTCTCAAACTTCAGGTATGCTTCAGACCACAATGTGATCCTTTTTTATAATGAGAAAGAGGTGAACAGAAAGCACAAGAGATTTACATTCAACAGCTGTTGGCTTAAATTGTAGGGTATTCAAGAGGCTGTCCAAGAAGAGTGGCAGGGTTTTGTGGAGGGCTCAACTATGTATCAAGTTCACCAGAAAATTAAAAACACAAGAATGGCACTGCTAGCATGACACAAACCGCACCTAGTTGCTTTCTCCAAGTGAGTTTAGTAGCGGAGCGGGCAATTATAGCCTTTCTTGCAGAATCCAATCCATCCCAACGAAAACGACTAGCTTCAGTTTGATTCACTTACATTTGAACTCATGGAGAGGGACTTTAGTCTTTGGGGAAGGGGAACCGAACCGAATCGAAAATCAATCCTAAATTATGGAACACAAAAATTACAGGCCCAAAGCCCCACGGCCCAAGTCCCAACCATAACAAAACAGGCCCAAACCCTATCCATGGAATTTGAAACTTGGAACACCTCATCTGCTCATCAATCAATCCGTACATTTCCAATTTCCAAACTCAATATCCAAACTAGTTACTAGCTCTGGAGTGTCTTGTGACACTCAGGAATCTTTGGAGAACCACATTTCCAATTTCTATTCTGGG